CAGCTACAAATCCACACGTTCTTGCTGAGACCACCCCATTTATTACTCAGTGCCTTAAAGACAGATTACCGGCCAAGTACGAATCATACGTGGTATATCAACTTACTTGCACCTGTGGTACTAAGTACCTCGGACATACGACCAGGCGTCTGTCAACAAGGAGAGATGAGCACTGTCCCGGGTCTATACGAAAAGGCACTGCCGGAAGTATCAAAAGTTCCATCCTTGAACATCTGATTCAAAGTGAACACGAAATTCTGACCAATGATGCTTCCAACGTTTTCTACACCATGTCAACGATACCCTAAGGGGATTAAGAGACGCCTTCTTAAGATTGCGTAATCGATAGCGATCAAGTTAACGCAACCTGAGCTTTGAAAGCAGAGCATGCTACTGCAATCTCTCACGCTGCCGTGGCCGTACTAAGGATCCATCCGCATGGAACATTGATGAGACCAAAGGTGGCATCACTTCACAGCTGACCCAATTCGCTTCGCGAAGTGGTCAGCGAACTGGGTCAGGTGGGGTCAAATAAGTTTATCCTTCATCGACAACACAGGCTTTACCAATTGGCCCGATCAATTTAACTTCCGTCCGAATAAATTCAGACTCCCCTACTTTCGCTTCAGCTTTCATTAGCTTATGAGAATCCCAGTTGTGCTTGTAGACGTATTTGCCTGATGTGAGTTACCGGAAAGAGATCTCTTTACAACCGGGTTTTCTTACATTCATAAACACTTGTAAGCGCCGCTCTTCAGCTTGACAGACTGATCGCATTTTCACTCGCGTGACAGCATTATCTGCTGGCTCGATGTCTAACTAGGGTTCGACGAAATTACAAGTCGCACTAACATCTGTTTGTGTCTCGCTACCTCCTCACTTTACAGATGGGTCTTATCACATTTCTTCTAGTGTGACACCGTGACTTATTGCGGGTTGCAATATGAGATCAAGATATCCCATCTCAGGTGTCTCTATACAACCCCTTGTACTGCTGCCGCCTTCAGGTAAGCGCACTGAGATTCAGACAAGTCATCTAGGTTGGTACCGGAACAGCGGCAACACGATGTGACATCAAAATCGAAATACTTGGGGACAGGTAGCATTTTTAGACACTGATCAATTGGTAGATATGCTAGCAGTTAGAACAAATGACTAGGGGGAAATAAATAGTAACACACGACAGACTGTTTGGTGGTTCCAAATACCTGTTAACTCTCGCTCACTTCGGACAAGAGACGATCATAACCGGCTTTGGTTTACCCTCCGACACGGATAGTCTGCAGTTAATATAGAAGACGGCATTCACAGCACACACCAACGATAAGTCCATCACTGTTCCACTATGCTTCTAGTTATTCCTTAAACTGAGCATAGCTATAATTCCCGTTCTTTCACCACGGACCTGAACTTAGCTGAGCTTATAAAAATCAGTGGACTTTATCGCACCATTTCCCTGCTAACTTGTAAAGTTGCTTAATTCATCGTCATGTTCTTCGTGTCATCCTTATTTCATCGCTAGTGTAAATATCGTTTGGATACAGTTGCTATCTAGAAGATGCTCAATTACTGACTTGGTGCAATGTAGTAGCATTACTGCATCTGTCTAAGAGGCACCTACTCGAAGTTGCATTAGGCATGGGGAATCTTCTGGGTAGACTAAGAAGAAGGTAATGCCACTGGTAATGGTACGTCAGTGTCTTAGTATATTACATCGGAAATGAATCGGCACATAGCGACAATCGTTTTAGGAGCACTGAATGGCTGCACCCGAGACGTACGATGGAGATCGTTACCAAATAGCTTATGGCCACAGCAGAGTACACAGTGGTATGTACAAACGGTTGAGTACTTGGATGACAGCCATGCTACGTCTTGAACATTTGCAAAACAGTGCGCACACTGTTTAGAAAGCCGCATGTTTGACAGTGAGCAGCGGTACTTAGTTGATGTAGAGTGGCGGTAGTTGTCTCTCCAATGAGGCCGTAAGCGGCGAATATGTGGTATTGACACCTGTCAATGCTTATGGTTGCGCAACAATCCTACCTCGGTCAGCAGATGATCGGACCGATCGTCGACACGGTGTGACTGAAGTGAACACCCAATCGCATTCACATGCTGTGCAATCTCCCGCATCAGCTACGCAAACCGGACTGTGCATATAGGAGGCAACAGTTAAGTACACACTATTTTACTGTACCACTTGTTTATTACTCATTCTACCTGGTAACCGTACTGATGGCAATTGCGTCCCTATTCCTATATCGGTTTCGTTCAAATATGGATGCCCAAGATTCAAGGCTGTCATGTCTAAATGTTAAAGAAAACACCAACAGTTCGTCTTGGATACTTATTCTCATGCCTGTGCAATTGGCTGTTAGCCTAACCTCCAAACGATACCCATACACGTTGTTTATGAGGTCTAATGTATCTCTATCCAGTTTGTGGCAGTTCATAATTATATTTGGACAAACGCATGTGCATTTGTTGCATTCGAACTGCCATTGGGCATGGATGACGCCAATCCATGTATATATGTATATCGAATGAATTCGACGAGGATACTCATACCGCTTTTGTACGGTCAACTTAGTGCAGGAATGCGGCATTGGGGCAAACCGAAAAGAACATTATCAGGGCATAAAGGTGAGTTTATGACAAACTAATTTTGATTTCAGGTGTTGCGAATCCAAGGCAAAGTTGATCGATGCGAATCTCGTGGACTGATCAAAAGAGCGGTTGCCCAAGTGCAGGAGAAGGCACTATTGCACGAGGAATAGAAGCACGATGCGTACGCTCTCATTCGATTTACTAACCCAGGCCAATAAGGCGGCGTATGTGGTACGTTTGCCTGCGTTCTGAGTAATCTTACATTTCAGAAGTAGATGTTGTGTGAGCTCCCCGGTGTGGCTGTGCCTGATGTGAATGTTGACAAGGTACCTACCTGTCTGATACCCTCCACCTCGATTGCTGGCTCCAGGAGACAGTTAGTCGTTGTTGGAGGGGACGGGGTGCACCGTCCTCGTGACGGTGCTAGGTTCAAAGAGTGGTTCCATCCTGTGTGGAACGGGCTACGGTCCAGCCACCGCCTTGTGTACGTCTGGTGTGCATGATTTCCCAATTAGGCCGGAATGCTTCTGTTTTGCTTGTTGAAGGAGTGTGGGCCGGCTCCGTTGATGAAACGTGGCTCCCATCCACATGTCTCCCGATCTTATTCCTTCGGGTTTACACCGGATATGGGGTGTATGAGTGGAACTGTGGGTGGTGCAGCGCAAGCCACCCATGGTCCCTTTGTAGGCGCAGGCATCCTGTGGCTGTCCCCATGGAGGCCACAGTGACAAGCAAATCCGGATACGGATGCCGCCATACCATATATATATATATATATATATATATATATATATATATATATATATATAAGCTTTTACTGAATAGTTTGTGTTTGTTAATGGTTATCAAAAGATTATTGTGAGGCAGGGGGTTCCGGAAATTCCACCGGCGCAGTAAGCGTATAATATGTGTCAACTCTAATGAACTGCCTTGTTTAAAACGGCAGTACGCTTGAATGCTTTCCTTATAAGGGCCTGGTTAATGTAATCGATTTCGGGACGCATAGTGATTGGATTCCTTGCGGAGAATGAAGCCACCGGCGACAGCTGCCGTCCCCTTAATTGATGCAGCGTCTCTATTTCGGTCGGAAAAAGTTGGATACATTTGCATCCACGTGTGCTGAGATCAGTGATGACCTCCGGAGTTTTCTGTGGGCGCTTTCGGTGCAATTCTGTCCCTGTTGATGTCATCCTTTTAGGTCATCCAATGTGCCGGGCCGTAATCTTAAGGAGCACAAGCCTGCCTTGTAATACGACGGCGCGGATTCGGGCCTGTGTGGGGACCAGATGACCTTTGCAGTATCTTTAGTGCATGTGCGATTGGTGGTGGTTGCGTGATAGCGAGGCATCGGTGCGGCGTACCGGGGTAATGCTTATGCTATTTTCATCCAAGTTGATTCACTTCAAAGCTTTTTTAGTTGTCTTTTATACGACAGTTCGAGTGTCTGATCCTACGTTGGGAATTGACAAAGCTTCTATCAGAGTTGTAGACAGTTTAGAGATGAAATAATGGGACGGCGTTGTCTAAGTAATCCGGTGGGCTATCTAGATAACTTCCCATTCGGAAAAACGACCTACTTCTATGTAGTTAACATCGGCTCCATGTTTGCGGGCTTGCAGTTGTGGCATCTAGGAATGAAAATACGTGGATGATTACTTCATCCAGAGTTCTGTAGCCCGATTCCAAGCCGCGAATTGGAGTCGGTGTGCAACCGTTGGTGACACTTTGGGTGTATGATGTGAAGGCTTAAGATCACGACCACGTGTCGGAAACGTAGTGGATTCGCAATTTAGGCGTAAATCATTGCCAAATTGTTTTGCAATAAAACTTCGTAAGCCCTTGGTATTTAGTATCGTTCGCAGATTTTAAAGTAGCCTTAAAGATCATAAGCCTGCTTTGTAATCTGCGGGAGCGGGTTCGAGCCTGCCTAGGGACCTGGCGACCCACGCAGTACCTTTAGCCCACGTGCGACCGGTGGTGGTTGTGGGGCAGGCGAAGCGTCGGTACTGCATATCGGCGGACTGCAGATGCCCTTCTGCCGTTAAATATGAGAGTTCACAATTATTTAATGCAAAGACATAACTGACAACTCATAACTGATTATGTCGTGTCGATTGGTGAAGGGGCGTTTGTGGCCAAAAGTGCAAGCTTCGGAGAGCATCCAAATACCTGAACAGTCTGTGCCTAAGAAAACAGTGATTCCGGAGTACTTTGACTGAGACTGAAACAGGAAGTGCACGATAGCATGAAAACTGGGTAAAGGACAATGACGAAGGGTTCAAAATCTACTTGGCGCGAAGAATACAAACCGCATTGCATATATAGTAATACCATAGATGAGAGGAGTGCGGATAAAATGCTACCAAAGTGTCACTATGCAATGCAGTTACCCGATCGAGAAGATCGTTTTTCCTCTCAAGTAGCTTGATAATCAGCTTCCGATGAGTAATCTTCAGTTGAACCATGTGACGCTCCTGGTACCTGTGGGGAGAGGAGATGGAGACAAAGCGGGCGTAAAAGGGATTAGGCAACCTTCCACATTGCGTGATAATTGGCGGACAGGAAAGAGATGTTTCAATGAACAGATACACGACGGATTTGGAGTTGAATGCTTGAGTAACCAAAGACAGGAGCAATCATGGAGGCTGCAGTTCCTAAACAGTGAAAAATAAACGTATGAGTTGGAACCAACGTAAAGAGTGCATAAAAACGATAGTAACAGTGAGTCTTTGATCTTAAGTATGTTTATAATCAAGTAACTGACAGGTACCTTCACTGAATTGACAGTGCCCAAACCGGAACATAACGTGTCTAGCTGGTGGCCGACCTAGCGAAGCAGTTTTACTGGGCTACAAAGAACACGATGGAAATAGGTAAAGAAGGAGACTGGGCAGGAATCCACCAGCTTCGTTAGTATGCGGAGGAATGCGTCCAGTGATCTATGCCGGTGGGCATACCGTCCAAAAGTAACTGCATTTCAAACTGTGAATCAAGTAGAACAAAATGGATCAACGTCGACGGTTGCTGCACTTCGACTTAAGTTGATGGTGGGTGATTGTGGTCCACAAACGGTGAGCAAGCATTAGCACCAACTTCCGTCGTACCTACATATTGAGTGCGCCACGCTATTTGTCACATGACACGGATGTCTGACGCCGCGTACTGTCATAGCTACAAGTGATTAACGGTTCGAATAAGCTCTAAGGACTAGGAACGGAATAGGAAAATCAGTTAGCGATAGAGAGCAGTCTCCTGTCGTGCTATTTAAGCCCAACATTCCAAGTGGAATGAACGTTGCATTGTCCACCGCAAGAGTTGACAGGACGAAAAAATATTACTGGTAGCCCTGAGATAAAGTTACTTGCCACACGCTGGCTCCATAGACAGGAAATGCGGCGTTAAACGATCGTCGAGTGGGTCTATTTCAAAGGGTGAGAAAGATGTCGCTGAAATGTTAAGGACACAACAAACCCATGCGACCACAGCAGAAGCAATTGTGCCGCTTCGCAGTCCCGAGAAAGTAGAATTGTGCTGCACACGTACTTGAAAACTATCTGTTCCCCCTGGTTCAAACCAGGTGTCGACGCTGCAAAATAAAGCAAATAAAAAATCAAGCATGAGCCCGCGAGATTCTGTTAAGGAGGTAAAAAGCATCACACGCTGACAACATCACTTCTCCAACGAAGATGTCGCACAACCCAGAGAAGATCAGGAGACAGGCAAATGTTTGAAGGTGTTGAGGTAGCACACAGAGTTTTCTGTTCCAACTGTGGATGACTCAATGGAACGAAGACGAACTCGGTCCTGGAGGACAACGATGGGAGTGAACAGCAACGAAAACGTCTGGAAGACAATTTTGAACGAACCACTAAACGGATCCACTGTGCACGGTTGCGAAATACACCTGGCCAAGTTAGGACCGATTATATACAGACCTGGAAGATACAGAACAAATCCTGTGTGCTTCCGGATGCAGCAGGCGGAGCGCCGGCGAGTACGGTGATCCGTAGTTGAATTTGGGGGGGGGGTTGAACTCCGCTGCTCTTGGGCTGCTGATAGGAGATGGCTGCTAGCTACCCAGTGGTCAGTAGCTGGATTCTGCCACCATCAAGTACAATCCACTGGATTGATGCCCGATGCCAGTCGAACTAAACTTACACCTCGAAAGAGCTACTTCCATGGTAAGTTAAGAAGAATGAGGGCTATTGACTGCTGCCAAGACGTTTACTAAAACAGAGTTGAGACTATAAAACTGTCTGGCGCGAATGGCCCTGAACGCGTCAGGGAAGTGCATCATGGTCAAGCAACAAATAATGAGGCACACGAAACACCGTGCCAAAATGCGATCCAGCCCATCGTGAGAAGGGAGTGGAATGCGTTTTACATGAAGTTGTCATCAAGTCGCGTCAACGGGTACCGTTTTCAGTATTGCGATAGATGCAAATGCGACGGTAACAGAATGTGCTCCATTGATGAATTCTAAAGAGTAGAGTAACTTTTTGTATGGTTCTACATGATATCACTTCCACAGACAGATGTTTGCAGCAACATAATGTACGTCAAGTAGGGCCTGTTAGAAGGTGGACAAACACACTAAGTGGCCGATTTAGCTATCCTGAAGCCAGATTAATCCGCCTTACAAACACCGCTGGTTAGGCGAGGTGTTTCGGTAGGGGGTTCTAGATTCTCAACCTGCGATTCATTAGTGCCACACAAGGCGGATATGTCACCAGTTCTTACGATCATCCATCAACCATTGGTAACCGTCAAACGTATTTACTTCTCTGCTTCTAGGATCACAGTTTTCTCAACCATAGTGGCCAAAAAACCAAATACGGCGCTGTGCCACTCCGTAAGACCCATGCGTGTTGTTCAACTCCTCACTCCACTGTGCGAATACAGGGACCATACCTAAATCATAGATGGGATGCAGAAGGTCGATGTACAAACACCACCTATCAGCACATTTGATAGGCGGGGTTTTTGAATTAGCAATCCTTACTGCGAACGCATCAATCTTGTATCCATATTTAGACGAATTCTTTGGCTGAACAACTGCAAAGTCACTGAAGCCGCTCAACGCTACCGATTCCTTGAAAAAGTACCCCAGACATCGCGCATAATGTGCAGTTTGCTATTTTCAACGAAATTAAATGAGCTTTCAAAAAATATTTTAACAAAAATTAGCCTCCTCAGCTGCATAGAGAATATTATAATTCTTTCTATCAATATGTGATCGTTGTTCAAAGATGAGGGGTTGTTTATTCAAGTGACATCTGTGCACTTTTTTCCCGTTCTCTTTTTACACTTTAAAATTTGCATATTTATTGATGCTGTTTTGTCACAACTGTGATAGTGCAAAATGCTTAGAATTCACCCATCCGGGCATGTAAAACTTATCTTTGCTTGACTTGAGTTGTATTGGGACCAAAGACGTGGCCAGCGAGTGTGTTCGGCCGTCAGTGACCGCAGAAACAAGTTGGTGGCTGGTGGGACCATACCACATTAGGCAACCACAGCTGTATAACAGAAATGGACTGGTTATCGCGCTTGAGCCGCAAACTTTAGATGCGCCAGAAATTTTAAGATACTGTTGATCGTTCATAAGTGGTGAGTGGCAAGGTGGCGGATGCGCATAATGACAGAATTGACCCAGAGAGCGGGTTGGGTTGGCAATTGCCGTCTTACTGGACAGAGGCGTCGGAATAGGCCACGGTAGCGAATAGGAACCTAACAGGATGCATTCACGAGGTCTACGGAGCTCTAGCATATTGCGATTATTCCTTGTGCTGGAGAAGTTTTACACATTTTCCATGTTTATCTCTTGGTTTTCCCGTTGATGATTACAGTCTTCAAGGAAGTTAGCGCGGTGGTTCCACTGTACTCCGGTTCTCGAAACACACGCGAACAACAGAGTCCAGTCGCACGGTCTCGGGCACTGCTAGTGCAGGAAAACACAGGTGGCATATGGCTTACTGTACACACCTAGCCGAAGTGAATATGTACTTTAGGGGCAAAAGTATCTATGATGTTAAATCCTCCTTCCTGTATGCTATCGAGCCAGTTGGTCAATATCCTAGGATACCAACTACCGAAATGATGTAAGTAGTGTAGAAATTAAGACACTTATGTAGATCAAACAAGTGGCGTTCCGGTTTTACACCGGTTGGACCAAGTAACAAACAAAAGCGGTTTAGTTCCATTTGAAGTAGTGGGGATTTAGGTGTAAGCGCCAAGTGACGGACTAGTATACTCTAGAAACGACTCGATGCGGCTGCCATACATTGTTGGATCAAATGGTATTCCCATGGAACAAGGAAGTTGTACAAAGCAACTAAGCTGAGGTTCATGGTATTTCTGATCCGACGAGTAGATCGCATCGCAAACTTGCCAGTGCCACGCTTAACATGCACAACTGAACATTATAATGCGCATACAAACGACAAGAAAGATCATGCGCTTCCAAAGAAAAAGGATTGACTTGACTCGATTGTGTGGTCAATTATGAAATTTTGTATTAAGCCATTTCGGCACTTTGATGTTATTGATGCCCCTACTAAGACTATCGTGTGGTTTAACTCGAAGTAACTCAATTCGTCAAGTGAATGCCTAATGTAACTGAGAGCTAATTAATGACGCAAAAGTTATCCAAACATGAGCAGGCCCGTAGCCTAAAGGTAAGAAGCGTGTCTTGTAATTTGACGGTGTGAGTTTGAGCCTGCGTAGGGGACCAGGCGACTCTCGCAGTATCCATAGCCCACGTGCGATCGGTGGTGGTTGCGCGGCAGCGAAGCGTCGGTACTGCGTACTGGCGTACTGCTGATAACTTGCCACGCCTTTATCCAAACATGGATTGATTAAGTGGAGGGATCAGATGTGGAACGGTAGTCGCGAGGACCGGAGAGATGGGGATGAATGGATTTGACAAAGGGGACCAAACGTAATGGTCAGTGCTCCAAGAGTATGAGATGGCTGACCAACTATGACTCCTGAGAGTGAGTCGTGGAAGGCAGAAGCGTATGTTTGTTAAATATGTGCCAATGAAACGACTACAGGGGTTGCCAAGTGGAACGCCCCCAAGAAGAGAAGGATAACAATCGGACATAGCCGGCTGGCAGTAGCATCACCGCTGGAAGTGTGCGCTGTGCGAAAGAAAGTAAGGATGGCAGAATTGCAGCCATATTGACACCGGCTGCGGAAGTCACGGTTAGACTGAAGGCACGAGGTTTTGAATATAGTAACGTTCAAGCGGAATGGGGACAATCATAAGTATCCAGATCTTTTCAGCGGATCTTTGAGTACAGATGTGAGTATGCAGTTTCAAGTTTAAACATGTGCCTGGTATAACATGAGATTCAATGGTCCGTGGAAGACTTCGAGGTAAGATCCTGAAGTTGAAACTAGTAGTGCAACGTACACGTCGGTGTGCTAACATGTCTATGTGAAGAGATAGTAGGTACGAGATGCTAAGTAAATGTAACGCTGGAGTACATAGTGGGTAAAACGCGGGCGCCGGTTCAGTTAAGTTCTTCCTTGGTAAGTCCTCCTTCCTCACAAACCAAGAGGTAGGCTACTAATGAAGACTTTAGTCTAGTAATAGGTCGTAGTACGAAGAAAAGGCCATTTGGCGTTTCCCAGGATGAGTGGTAACTGTTTTAATTCGCATGTAAATACGCCGAGCCGCGCGGGGAAGCTTGATCCTCAGAGGATAAGTAGATCGTAAGACAACCCAAATGACTGCGACCGGGAATAGAGGCTGTGAATCTGGCGGTAGACTTCAAGCATTATCGATAACATGCATCAAAAAAGACGCACGGATGCACCACATCCCCCGGGATAGGCTCCATCATACGTGTATATTACTTCGGATGATAGAAGTAATAAAATGAATTGCTGTAGATTCTACAAACGGCAAGCAGAGAGCATTACGGATATGAAAAGAATTTGGTATCGGATCAGCCAGGGTCAGCAATTCAAAGATCTTCAATTGAAAGCATTAAGGCAGCCATGCAGCATGCAGGGTATACATGGCAAAGTGAGGCATCGTTTCCACAGACTTACTAACAGTGCTCCGACAACCGTCGAAATTATGCAAACATAATTCAAACGCCCGTTTACAATGAAAATTGTCAATCCTCGATACTTCGGAAGGTAACACAAATGAATGTTCGCGAAACGTACCGGATCAGAAGTTCAACCACTTCACCCAGTGAAAGTGGCCTTTCCACTCCACCATCCATGATTGAATCCAACGACTTCGCATGACACATATAAGCTGCGGTTCCCAGAAGTCCGTTGAACTCCTCCTCCACTCTTTCGTCCATTTCACGACTAATTTGGCGGCCTCGTGGGTCGTACAAGCAGCACTCGATGTTGATAGGGATGAGGGTAAGTGGAATCTGTTTTGCAAGCACTGCGACTGGATTTGCGGCTGTCAGAACCACAGTTAAAAACAAAGATAAACATTCACCCGACTAAGAATTTCTCTGGGTAGGACGAAATGTAGTACATTTCAAATAAAACACCCAAAGATGCACACACCGCTAACGATGTGATAGAAAATTAAAGATGGGAGGAAACGGAGTGGTTTGTGCATATTAAGGTAGAACGAGGAGGATCGCGAGACGCATTTTATCAAACGTAGTCACAGTCAGCCAGTCATTGTGTGAGGAAGAAGCAACAGACGCTTGCACCATTTAGTTAAAGGATTCGGTATGGCAAGATCATGTGGAAGGTGATAGAGGGATCCCAGGGTTGAGTATTTTGAAGTGGATAGAAAGTGCTAGGTGGAACATCGGTCACGGTACTATTCAATATCTGAGTTGTACACTGACTCGATAGTGAGGATCAGTGAGGAGTCTCACGAGACAAGAATGTGGGAACAGACTCAAGTGCCCAGTAGCCGGAAGAACTTCGTATGAGTAAGATAAATCCCTGCCTTGGAGGTATGCCGATATAAGATATCGAGGTTCAGTTTAAAAATCGTATGGATATCTATGTGTAAATCCCACAAAGTGGTCAGCACAGGCAGCTGAAGCTTTGAACGCTAGACACACAAGTACATTAAATATCTGAAACAAGTCAGCAGTGGGCTCAGAACACTCAATGGAGTATGACATGATTTGTATTCCCAAGATGGAGGTGAATGCTGAAAGCACCTACTCTACTCAATATGTCGCCAGTCAAAATAAATCTCAGGTATCTTATGGTACTCTATCACCATCTCACGCTAAAAGCAACTCGCCGTGAGGGATAATATTGGTATTAAGCCGTCACCTGACTTCGGGACACATCCTCGTAGGCGCGCCAACTGTCCACATGAAGAAAAACCTACAGTGACCTCCTTGAATTGAGAAGCCGCGGAATGTTTCGGGGAACCCAAATGTATCCGAGTATTAGAAAACAACGACGTGTCTACTTCTCGCACCAACAGTTGGCATTTTGAAGGTAAGAAACAAATGAACTGTGCGGCACTGTACTTCATCTGCTAAAGTGGTGATTCAGTTAGTACCGTATTCGACTATAAGTAAAACGTTCTATGCGCAGTGACCCAGTAATGCTGCTCACATATATTAGAGGAATGAAGAACGATGATTCGTAATCAGCTGGATTACAAAGGTTAAAAAGGAAAATGAAACTGAACAACATAGACAAATCTTAGCTGTAACGATGCAGTTCAGTTCAGTTCATGGGAACAACCATGATCCGAGGATCCAACTGCAGTGGATGCAGATGCTAGAATCACAACAAATGAAAACGGTAAGAAAATGAGGTTGAATGCAAGTAGACTGCAAAGAAAATGGAGTCAGCACAGGTGTACACAAAGCTAAAAGGAACGGAAAATGACGACCAGATGTAAGAAACCAAATGCAGAAACGTCACTGACGACGCGACGGCGCCATGTCCGATACGGTCTCCAATCACTGGCGTGGACGATCTCGGGGCCCTACCAACGGAAACGGCACCAGCCTAAGTCTTTCAGTCAATTGCTTCAAGTTTCGCAAGCAAAATATCTGATTGGAACGGGTCATCAGGTCGATTCCCACTCGGCGTTTACTGTCATCTATGGTAACACAAACGCCAGAGTTCTCAAGTTTGCTGAGGCAGTGGTCATCAATAAGCACCGTCCAACAATGCGAATCCAGAAGCAGCTATTTGTTACACTAAAACTCCCTTGGGGTTTGTGATACATTCTCAGTCGGTTAATATTACTTTCTTTGCACGTGCCTTACGGATTTTAGCTCATTGATTTTTTGTCACGTTATCATTTGAAATGTTGCTCGTTTGTAAGTGATCAGAGGGCACGAAATGAGAGCAACTCGCAACATGTGTCTTCGTATTGTTCGATTCAAGTTAATACAGGGAACAGAATACTCCAAATTTCTAGGACGAAGATGTCCGACTGAAACCGGTAGAGTCCATGACGGATTGGTAAGCTTAAAGTGTAAGCTCGCCATGGAGAAAATGCGTATTTGTTATCTCTGTGAAAGCAAACGAAACTAAAAATACCTCCGGCAATTTTGTAAATTGCTGCGCCAGAATAAAATGAGGACAACTCTCACAAACCTAAGACGACTTGACAATTCTTAAGTGAAAAAGGCCAACAGAATGCTATTGCAATTGCTGGAGATACAGGAACATCGTGTGGCAATTGTTGACAAGTTTTCTTTAGTTAATCTAATCAAGCATACTATCTTTGTAAAACTGTCATTGACAGAACGGAAAGAAAGTTGACTAAAGATTAACGTAGATTTCTCAGATGAAATACCATTCCATGCCGATTTATGAAAACATGTGTATAACGTCTCTTCGACTTCAGTGAATAGGAAAATGTTCGAAGCTCTACCACTGCGTGTACATTTCAAAACCCCTCAAAGAAAGTCAATGACAATCAGGTTGCGGCATTATTTGGAAACCTACTTGATCAACTCTCGAAGCGGAAACCAACATCTTACGAGAAGTGTAACTAGCTCAAAGTTAAGCTAGCTGACATCGCAAATGGTTTCATGATGGCTCCGATTCATCACTCATGCTACCTGGATAGCAATTACATAGAAACGTTACTTGATTTGAGAACCGAAGGCTTAATAGTGTTGAAACCGGACAAAAGTAATGGGGGCGATTATCGTGGATAAATCGGATCATAAAAACAAGATACAAGATCCTGAAAGACAAGTCAAAATTTCATGTGGACAAAAATGCGAGCAATAGAACATACACTGAGAAGAGGGTAAGCAAACATCTGAAAATATTACAGTCCCATAGGATAACACAGATGACATACAACCCTCTTAAGCCATTTGGTACCGACAGCCCCAGATGTATGGTCTGCCCAGGATTCATAGAGTTTATGTCCCGCTCAGAACAATACTACTCATGCATAATTCACCGTACCACAAGCTGGCACGTTGATGAACTAGTGACGCCAATTAAAAAGATGAAACTAAAGCACACCGTGAAAAATACTTTTGAGTCAACTGAACGGTTGCGTGAAACTGACATTTCGGACAATGTGATGTGTTCTATGGACGTACAAACTTTGTTTACCAACATTCCTTTGAGAGAAACAGTGGATTTCCTATGTGGCTTCGTCACTAGCGAGAAAGTGCCTCTGCCGACTCCTGTAGAGTATCTCAAGGATTTGTGGCTACTCTGCATGAAAAATGCTATTTATGTTTGAGGGGCAGGCATATCGACAGGTGAATAGCGTGGTGATGGGGGAACCCATTTGGCCCTCTGCTGGAAGACGTCTTCATGGCGATAGCCAAGTCGTGCTGCGATCCAGACCTCGGACGAATGTGCCTACACAAGAGGTATGTTGACGACACTTTGGTGATCGCATCNNNAGCATCCATAAGTTCCAGAGACTGTGTAGAGATCCAATGTCCAATTTAGCACTTTGATTTACCGCATGAAGACATGCCTGCTGATAGTAACGTTTGACGAATATGCGACCACGGGATCTTCGACGGTGTTCTGTGGGCACTTTCTCAGCCCATATGCCAGCGTACTTTGATACGCATTTAGAACACCTGACATTGCCAGCTGGCTGGCGTCAATCCGTTCACATCGACGTTGCGGACGTCCGCCAAAACGCACCCGAAGGTCTGCACACACAAGAGCGTGATCGGAGTAAACGCTGGTGCTCCAAATCGAGCAACAGTTTTGGACACAGCCTCTCCAGCGGTAAATGATCGCGATATGATTGATTTGCGTCCATGGCTGGTGCGAAGCTGGTGAGCACCAAGTCACGCTTATGCGGGTGCTATGTCGAAAGTTAGGGCTCGCAAGAAAGCGACGAGCAAGTTCACACAGATGTAGCAACCGCTCATGGTTATCATTACGGGAGCTTACACAATGTTCGCCGACCAGATGAAGCTCATCAGAGGACAATTTTTCGACTTGCGCGTTTACATCACCAGCAAGAACCACAGTATCCGTGTTTCTTCTGTAACGATGAAGATCATTAAGTTGGTGACCGAAATGATTTTTCATCGCATCAGGGCTGCAGTTTGTAGGGGCGTAGGCCGCAATAACAAACAGGCAAGTTTGTTCCCGCGCGACTTCGTAGCATGGAACGAACCAGCTAAACTAACAGCGCACATCCGACTGTTGACTGGGATCCAATCGATCAGGGCAGCTTCAGCGCTGGGACTCAAAACAATCTGGACGCCAGCTTGACCGGCATTTGAAGCTGCATCATCGCCAGACAGGCGCAATGAGAATGTGCCGCAAGTGTCGCATGTGGGGGATCGCAGAGTAAGCACGGAGCTCGAAACTTGCAGGCAGGTTTCTGATAAACAGCAAATAGCGATCGATAGGGTCTCTAGTGTGCGGGCAAGTGTTGCCTGTTGGCCAATCTGTAGCAAACTGCGCACGTTGAGGCATGCCGGTCTTAGCGAGAAACGAGGACTCCAAAGGGAAACGGATGAACTGACGTTGTCCGCTTGGTTGAACATGGACTTAACGACTGGATTGGAGCGACGCCCTGCGACTGTGTGTGAGTTGAAAGTAGAAGAGAAGCGACTATTGAAGCATTGCGGGATTGAAAATGGGGGGATAAAAGTAAAGTTGGAGCGGGACAATAAGGATGAAAAAGCGCAAGAGGGGGAATAAGAAGACAGAAAGGCTTGAGCAGTAGTATCCAAACCCCTATCCACCCTGCTCGATGCAGCAGATAGGGCACTGTTTATTATCATCTGCGGTGGCTAGAGCTTCAGGAAGTTGTTCGACGAAAGATTCATAGTATTGCCTGGGTAGGATACTGTCAGGTTGCCGAGGCCTAGATAGAAGAACGATTCGGATTCTCAACCGAAGCCTTTGGTTCAAAAACCTTACCGCAAAGCAGCGGGGTTTTGGCCCTGGACTACAGAGAACCCGTTTAATGAAGTAAAGAGCCACCCACACTCCAACCCCCAACCAGTAGGGCCA